CGGTGGGCGAGGGGATGGGGCAGTGCCGGGCACAGAGCTGGGGCCGGCAGCATTTCTGCAGTGGGAAGGGCAGGATGCAGCAAAGAGCTGGCGGTGAAAAGGCTTTTTGGGGCAATTTGAGTTATTCTGCCATGGCCAGTTGGTTGGGGCTGGGTTGGGGGTGAGAGCCGGCATTCCCATCTCCTGGCTGCACCGGCACAGACCTGGCCATGCCGCCACGATGCTGGTGTTGGTCCCCGAGGTTAAAAGGAAGTGACCCCACGAGGCTTGGCAGCAACCTGGGCTTGCTTTTCCTCTTCTGCCCCCAAAGCTGGGAGGGAGGAGCCGGCCTCTTTGGGGGTCCCGCTCTGCCTCGTCCCAGCCCCACAGCGCTCGGCTCCAGCGTGAAGCTGCTTTTAAAGCCCCTTCCTCTCGTGTGGACTCTGTTGTTCCCGTCTCTCGTCGTTCCATGGTTATTTTGTAATGATCCCTGTTTCCTTATTAAAGAAACGAGCTGAAAGGAGCCGCGGTTGCCTCCTGGTCTTGCTGCTGGGGCTCGGTGGGAGGCAGGTCCCAGGGCTGAGGGATGACAAGAGGGATGACGGCACGAGGGGAACCCCTGGAACACGAGTGTGCTCACACATGGTGGGATGTCCCCATGGCCCAGACATGGTGCAGGTGGGGAGACATCAACAGTCCCAGCACATACAGGTGGGTCCATATAAACATGTTTTGGTCCTGCAGAGGTGCTGGACACCCCTAGGCCCATGGGGAAGAGCTCAGGCTGCACCTTGAAGCACCCTGAAACACCTCAATAGACTGAAATGTGCAGAAGTTTCTAGCAACCTCACGTGGGACAAAGGCTCCAAGACGTGGTACCAAGTGACTGTGTCTTTGCTCCAGGTTTGTCCTGACCAAGCACGTACAGGGCTTGGCACCACAGAGGGAGCATTTGGGCTTTTACAGACCATTGATAGTGACGTGTTGCAGAAATTTGGGCTGACCAAGTTGCAGCTCCAGAAAGATAGAAGCAAAGTCAAAGCTTCTATTTTATCAACTCTCATTTTATTCATTTATAAATACTGTTGTGTTTACAAGCATCATAGATGTGAATATTATTCCCAAACTTTCAAACACATAATACTTATAATACTATATAACAACAACCAGTAAAACAAATCATTCATCTCAGGGTTTGAAAGGCCACTCAGAAGTTGCATAAAAATACATTCTCTCCCCATCTCGTGAGCTAGTCCTGCTTCTCCAAGGAGTTATTTACAAAGAGCCATCGTCAAACTCGCAGCCACAACAGGCAGCTTCACCCCCAGCCATTAAAAATGAATTCACCCCAAGCGACCGCTTAGAGAAAAAGCTTCTTCTCCAGTGGAGAGCACGTCTGGGAAACGCTCTGGTTCTAATAGGGATCAGGTTTAAAAGCTGCTTGCCTTGCACCGGGTCCAAGTGCAAAGTGTCCTCCCCGTCACCTCCTCAGTGCACTGGTTCTGGCTTAAAAGAGACCAAAAGAATTCATTCTCAAGGATTTGGTTTGCAACTGCACCGTCCTCAGGAAATACTCACAGCTTTGGCTGACCTGTCGGTGGGTCCTCTGCCCTAGTCAAGAGTTCAGGGGATAATCCAGTGCTAAGCAGACGTTTCATCTCAAGTGGTTTGGCTTTGCAAGGTGCAACGCAGAGGATCTGAGCCTTCCCCACCCTTTGCACACTGTTCCTTAGGATGAAACACAACAGGCATCCGGGTGGCAAGGGGCAAAACATCAGTGCAGGATGGACCTGTCAGGTTGGGTTGAACCCTCTCCCTGAAGCAGACACGAGGCTCCTTCACGTTGCCAGGAACCTGCCTCATGAGTAGAACGGGATCTTCAGTCTGAAACCCCGTCCTGCTGGGATGCAGGACCAGGGGCACACAGTCAGCAGCTCCTGCTCCACGTGGCACAGGAGGGACCAGGCTCCTCTTTAGAGCTGTGGGAGCCCAGGTCTGAAGCAAGGAGAGGGTCACCAAGAGAAGAAACATCAAGAAACGCAGAAGTACTCACACAAGAGAGTGCACCAAGTGGGGACGGCGTGCAGAGAAAGCATTGCCCGGACCTCGAGACTTAAAGCTGTTAAATACAGCAGGGTTAAAAGAAAGTCATATAAAAAGGATGCCTGGCTTAGGCAGTGCTCTGCAGAAACCCTGATGCCATCACCAGCTTTGGTCTCCTCCTCCCCAAAGCACAGCAGCAGAGGAAGGGCCTCAGTGTACCAGGAGGAACGGCACCTCATGCTCAAAGAGCTCCGCTGGCTGAAGAGTGACCGAAGAGGAAGCTCTGGCCAGAGCTGCCCTGGCAACACCGGCAGCTCCAACAGGAGCAAGAGAGGTGGGAACAGGCAGGATGGGGAGGGGGAAAAGTAGAGAATTAGGGGGGAAAAAAACAAACATGAAGAAAAAAACCCAAGGGAGAGGAAAAGAACATGCTTTCTGAAGCAGTAACCAGCCAAAGGGTCCAAAAAGCCCATTTAAAGTTCTGTTTATCTGACAGAGATAAATGTTACCCTGTCGAGCAAGCTCAAGAACGATGCACATGTTCAAGTATCTCATCCCACCAGCCCAATGGGAGCCGTGAGCCAACAGCAGAGGCACCCAGGATGTAGGTAGAACTTCTTCATGGCAACCTCCACGTTCAACGACTGAGACTGCAACTCCCAGCCAGCCAGAGCAGGGATGTCAAAGGATAAAGGAAATGGGAGGACAAATATGGAAGGATGTAGACGGGAAAGTGGTCTGGATACATGAAGAAGTCTCTGGGAGGGAAGGTATCGTTTGAGAGGAGTCTGTTAAGGGGAAGCTCAACAGATCTGATGGCAGGTTACTGCTGCCGCCATCAAAATCACACAGCACGTGGAGGAGCCACTGTCTAAATGCCCATAGAGAGAACAATTCCAAATTGTTCTGAGTACATACAACATGAAAGAGGGTGGTTTTTTTTGAGGTTTCCTTCAAGGTCAAGGCTTACTGAAAGCTTTTGACAGATTCAAAGACTTTTATCCTAGCGACAGTTACCAGCATGCCCAAGGGTAGCTCCTTGTCCCTCTGACACAATGCAGTCACAGCTTTCCATGTGGGAGGACAAGTGAGCACTGCTTCACCTCCTGAGCCTTGAAAGCATCTACATCAAGCTTCTTCACCAAGAGGTGGGCAGCTGGAATGGGACTCTGGCGTTCCCTCTCCCTAAAAACCTTTCACTTGGTCAGCCTCCTGCTGCAAATCAAAGCAAGGTACCTGAAATCCCAGACCAGACTCCTCTACAGGGCTCTGCCTTCATGAAGATAGCAGGACAATGTCCCAGGTGGCTGTGGGGACAGGGAGGCTGGTGTCTGGTGTGGGCACAGCTCCCTGCAAGGTGATTCACGCTCATATGCATGTGAAAGCAGCAGAGGATCTCTGGGGACTCAAGCTTGTCCTTCAGAAAGCTTGGCAAGTATCTGCTATACCTCCTACCCCGAGGCGCGAGAGGCTGGATGCAATCAGCAGATGCTACCAAGACAGGAGCCCTGGATGGATGCGAGGTGACACCAAGGGCAGGGTGAAGGACGAGGGCTCTGACGCTGAGAGCCAGCGCTGATGTTACTGACCAGGCTCCAAATCTTGTATTAAATCAAAGACTCGGTCTCCTGGGGTGAAAGGAGAAGAAGGTCTCTGTGCAAAGCAGCTGTGGTCAGCCTGTGTCAGAAATCAGCTCTGGTGGCTTTCACAGCATCACATTTCAACCAGAGGCCCACACCTCGGGTGGGTTGATGTGCAGCCTCACACTCCCAGCCCATGTTCACATTTCCCACCTGTAAAGGGCTTGGATGTGCTGGACCAGTTCTTTAGGCGTCGCTTTTCTATAGTAGGAGCTGCTTGCTCCAGGCTGGAGTCCTACACCAAGCACTGGGCTTTGGAAGAAGAAGTTTTGGCAGCTCAAACCCAACCCTCATGTTTCTCTTCTCCCTTGAATAAAATGTCCGAGACACCACAACATGCTTAAATTAAAAACAATCCAATGGCAGAGGGGTGCTGTGGGGGGATCTGGGGCAGGAAAGGGATGTACAGCACAGGGCAGGGCATGGCAGGGGTGACTGGTTGATCCCAGGCTGAAATGCTGTACGTGACAGGAGGAAAGGGGGGGTAGGGCTCGGTGGTGGGGTTGGCAGCTCGTGAGGGCTCCCCTCTTTGTCCTGCCTGTGCTCAGGATTCCTATTTGGAGAGCTTGCTGATGACACGAATGAGGGCTCCGTTCTCGTCCTTCAGCCTTTGGTTGTCTGACTTCAGCTCTGTCAAAATCTGCAGAGAGACAAAGTGGGATTAGAGCTCAGCAGAGCTGGACAGACCCCGGGGTTGAGCTGTGGGGATGTCACCTCCCCTCCACCCAGCACCCTTCTGATGTTGGTCATTACTCCATAGGGTCTCCAGGATTTTCACAAGCAAAGGATTTTGACTGGAGCACAGCAGAGAGCCAGGGAGCCCTGGAGCGTGGTGAGACACGATGCCCCAGCACTTAGATTCAGCACCAGGCTGCGAGGACAGGAACCACGTCCGAGCTGTTTCATCCCAAACCTCTTCCCAGATGAAAATTAGAGCTTAGCAGAAACGAGGAGGCTGGTTCTCCTCATCTGGTTTGTCCAATTTGCCAGGACTAGAGGGGAAAACAAAGGCCTGAAATTCTAGCACAAGACTGGACCTTGCAAAATGTCTTTAGAATCATAGAATAGTTTGGGTTGGAAGGGACCTTCAAAGCTCATCCCTGCAATAAGCAGGGACATCTTTAACTAGATCAGGTTGACCAGAACCACATCCAGCCTGGCCTTGAATGTCTCCAGGGATGGGGCATCCACCACCTCTCTGGGCAACGTGTGCCAGTGTTTTACCACCCTCATTGTAAAGAATTTTTTCCTCATGTCCAGCCTGAATCTCCCTCTTTTAGTTTAGAACCATCACCCCTCTTCGTAATAAACCCCAACTTTCCACGAATAAACCCCAATCTCCTTGGTATCTCACAGATGTTCAATGCAAACGTGCATGCCACGGCCAGAGGACTGGTAGAACACACTGACACTGGAGATCCCCCAGTTGTGAATGCTGGAGCTCAACCAAGGGTCACAACACACACAAAACCAGAGTGCTCTGAATTGGAAATACAAGACTGGCTCTGACAAGCCCTTTGCAGCATTCCTCATAGCAAACCCCCTCTGCTTCCCACACTGCAGGTGGGTGACCACGGGTGGCACTGGAAGGAGACCCCGCGCTGCCCATCCCGGTGTGTGACACACAAGGTGCAACTCACAGCACGGGTGCCACCAGCCCCAAGCTGCTGGAACAGGGCAGAGCAGGGTCCTGAATGGCACCGCTCCGAGCTCAGTGATGACTCCTCTCACCCAAGGGGGAGCGTGGAGGAATTCCCAACTCAAAATCCCCACTAAACTTCCTCCTTTCCCCTAAGCTGGAGTTGCTGCCCTGACCACAGCCTCCTGCCCGCTCCTCACATCCGCAGGCCCTCCATGGCCACCACCACTGAGCACAGGCGCCAGCTCCCACCACTCCACCAGAGCAAATTCCTCCTTTCACAGTCCAAAGCCCCTCTCCAGGTTTCCTGTAGCCCCTTTAGGCTGCTCTAAGGGCTCCCTGGAGCCAGGCTGAACAAGCCCAGCTCTCTGAGAGATCAGCTTTACAGGTACCTCCAACACCCTGTGTCAGAAACCCAGCAGAGCTTGCAGACACGTGGCTCTTCTCCAGCTCGGACAGCACCAGTGAACTGCAAACCTGGGAACAGCCTCCAAGCTGGGAATGAGGAGTCCACCCAGGCAGACGGCTGTTAACAGGGGGAAGTGATAACATGGCTATTTCTCAGGAGAAGAAGAGAGACCGTGACTTAGAGCCGCTGAGACATTCCTTCTCCTGAGTCTGGAAAGAGTTTTGCTCAAATTTTCCCTCTCAGCTCTCAAAGCACGTTGGGAAGAGGAATGACTTGAACTCACCGCTGGTGAGGGGTGAGTCAGTGGCAGGTTTGGGAATAGTGTCACAGATTTAAAGCAGGAAGATGGGGAGATGATTTCATCTGACCATCTGCACTATTCAGGCCACGAACACCCCCATGACACACGCCTGGTCTTGAACTGGGACTCCTGGGAAGGGGAAGCCACAATTCCCCTGGTCGGTTTGTTTCTACCATTAATCATCTTTGATATAATTTGTGTGCTAAGAATAGATTTGTCTCTAGCTCCGTGCCACTTCCAGCCCATGAGAACGCACTGCTGCTGTCTGAAGGGAGCTGACTATCCCCACTAACCTGCAAAAGGCACGTACGGCCCTAAGAAAGAACCATTTACAGCTTTATTTTAGCACTGAACCAATGAAGTAGCAAGGAAGGCTGTAATTTAAGTGGGTGATGTGTGAGGGCAAAGCTTGTGGAAGGCTTCTCCTTGGATTTCAAACACTAATTGCTCTGCACTTAATTTAAAACAGGGGAATGAAAAAGGAAGTGTACCTGGTGCAGCTCCTAGTGCTTCACCTGCCTCAGAGCCAGAGCGCAGGAGGCAGTGAGGATGCTGCAGCCTGTGAACTCAGACTCAAACCCCTCTGTCTATAACGAGGGAAGGAGCTCGTCCTCTTTGTCAAGGGACTGAGGAAACCTGCTGAGGACTGACCAGCTGCAGGTCTTCTAAAAATCACCTAAAACGTGTGCTTCTCATAGCACCCCAAAGCCATTTTCCAGTGTTAAGCCCCAGGGCAGCAGCTGATCCATCACTCTCCAGTGGCCATTCCAGTGCCATCCACCCAGCCCAACAACCTTGTGTCAAGGCAGGGAGCACGTCCTCCTATTTCTCTCCCAGGTGATGGGCTCCATATGGACAAGGCAACCCCCCGATGCGGCGTGTTAGTGGTCAGCATCATCTGCCAAGCAGAGCAGGAGTCAGACTGAGCAGAGCCTCCAGCGACCCCAGGCCTTTGGCTTTCGGATCCTTTGCCACATGCTGCTTTTGAGCCACAAGCTTCATCAGCCACCCTTGAGAGCAATGAGGCAGAGGGGGAAGAGCCCGGCCAAAGGAGTGGAGACCTGCCTGGAAGAGTGGAAGAGGGAGGCGAGATGAGCCGGAGGGAAAGCAGCTACAGCTCCTCTGATTCGGAGGGCTTGGCAGGCAGAGAAAGCCTGGCTACGACCCGGGTCAGAGCCCTGTTTTCAGCCAGCAGTTGCTCATTCATCTGCCTCAGAGTGTGAATCTGTTTGAGCTGGTGGAGATTCTGCAGAGAGTGAGAGGAGTGGATAGAAAAATAGAGAGAGAACACACCGGGGAGACAAAAGAGCACAGAAATGTGAGTTTAGTCCACGAGCAGTCAAAGGAAAGAAATAAAGAGAATAAAAGAAGAATGAGTAGCAGTGAGTGGTGGAGGGGCAGCAGCTCAGGGGCCGATGGGGAAAGCCTTACAGCACATGGAGGACATTCTGGGAACCATCCCTCTCTCCAGGGGCCACCAAAGCCTTTAAAAGGTCAGATGAAGGGATTTCCCAGCACAAAGCAGGGAACATTCTAGTTTACCCAGACAGTGAGCTCCAGCAGCACACAGCCTTTGGAATGACTGGGGGAACTCTCACCACTGACTTACCACCTACACAGGCTCTGAAAACACTGCTGCAACTGAGGATTCCTTTCAAACCCCTTTTTTCCATGTACCTCTAAAAGCTAAAGCAGTCTTGGGTAGCAAAGGGCCGAAAGAGCTTCATGGGAGGTTTTAAAGGCACAGACTGAAGTACCTAAAGTGTTGCTATCCTGACCACTGAGACACATTCCACACCTGAATGATGGCTCTTGGGTCTGCTCAGAGGTCTGGTGTGTGTGTGGGGGCTTTCATCCCTGTCCAGACTCAGCTCTTCTCTATCATGGGGCTCAATTTAACTCTGATCTCCAGAGGTGAAAAGTCAGAACCTCAAACCACTCATCTTAAGTCGAGGTGTTTGAATGACAGCATCGTACATGTGAAAACACAGCGTTCCCCATCACAAAAGAAACTAGTGGGCAAAGGACAGAGGAGAAACCAGCCCCGAAGCTGGGGCTAGCACAAGAACAGCAGCAACGAGGAGACACAGAACACCAAAGCAGGCAAAGGGGGAAAATGGTAAAGGCCATGCAGACATCACGACTGCTCCAAGGACGTTCTTCCCAGTGATGCTGAAGAAAGAAAGCAAGTATGTGCTGAAATTTACACCAAACAGAGGTGCCAGGGCACGTGGGGGCTGCAGAGCTGCTTTCTGAGCAGCGTCCTGTGCCTCCCTCCTCCCCACAGCTCATCGGGTACCGCGGCCACGTGAACCAGGAGCCCTCCTCCATGGTGTAGGGAGCACGGACACTGGGCAGGGAAAGGCAGGAAGGGGAACATCTGTGGCAAGAGGAGGTTTAAGTTCAAGTGAAGAAGTGCCAGCCCAGAACCAAAGCAGCTCTGCAAACCAGCGTGCTCCTCCCATGTCCTCTGACATGTGGCTTGCAGCGGCCGGGAGGAGACAGAGGGGAGGGTCTGTTGGGAAGAAGGAGATTCCTTTCTGCCATTTGATTAGCAGAAAGTGCTCCAAGGAACGTCACTGTCTGTCCTTAACCAGAAGCAGCTCAGGCAAATCTGCTGGGATGCAAAAAACTTGCATGAACATCCATCCAACCTGCATGACATGGAGCTGGCTGCAGTTGGCAGAGAACCTGCTGCATCCCGCTTTGTCCAAGGGCCCGTTTGTGTATAAAAGAGAAGCACTTTGTGTAGCCCCCCACCATCAGGTCCATTCTTAACTCCCCAAAAGCACTACCTCTGCTCCCCATCAAGGAGCAAAACCAACAGAAGCAAGGCAGACGAGTGCAGGGAGCCAGCAAAGATGGGCTTTGAACCCATCAACCTGATGGAGCAGGCTCCTGCCACTTGGACTAGGCTAATGCAATTCGGACAGGTCCTGATACAGAGCTATGACCAATGAGCTCCAGGAGCTTCAGGGACACCTCGGCAGTGAGATCCCCTCTCATCAAATCTCAGCTATCCATCCATCCATCACCAAACCCACCCGAGCAGTGGTGGCACTTGGTGAGGACCTCACACGTCTGTCCTGGGATAAATCACACCCAGGAGCTGCTGGAGGATGGCTCATCCTGGAAGAGTCACACCATGGATCATAAACATCCTCTGTTTTATCACAGGGCAGACAACTGAGCATGTCTGGCAGAAAACATCAAGCATATGTGAAACGGGTGCCGTGCTATGGGGATGGAAAGGATCATGGTCATTTTAGAGACCACCTTTGTTTTTCCACACTGATATAGCACGGAACCTCAGCGTGGCATGATCAGATGCAGCTCTGCCTCAGCACGCTGCCACAGATGATAAAAAGGATCACTTATGTAAAGATGTGTGTGTGCTGCAGGTAGGACAGCCTTCTGTTTACTCAAGAAACCCAGCAAAGGCTGGGAAGCTGGGAATGAAGCCAAGGGTGAAGACCAGAATCTGGCCAATACTGCTGTGATTGCTTATCCCTCTGCTTGATACTTGGCTCACCAAAAGCAGGTTTCTCAGTTCAGCTGTACCTGCCTGCAATTAAAGGATTTTGTGCCTGCAGCAGTAGGGGAAATAAAAATGCCCAAAGCATGCACAACGTACAGAGCCAGGAGGTGCAGTGCTGCTATGGTATAAAGAAGCTCCTGTGACCTTCAAGAAAAATTGCTGTGTTAAGTTGGGACCTCAGGCACTTGGCACTCAATTCAGTTCAGTGCAAATGCTAATTTTCTTTCTCCTTCCTTAGCCAAGTTGCTGTATTTCCAGTCACATCCTGCAGCCACTTAGGAAAATGCTGCACTGCTTTGTCACCTTCACAAGAGCTGGTCTGCGGGAGCAGCTCTGGCACCAAGGGCTTCTTGAGATTACTGTGTTTGTCCTGCTCCTCTCCATTTCTTGATTGCTTCATTAGCAGGGGTTAAACTCATGAAAGGAACAAAGCTCATTACCTCAAGTGTAGACTGAAATACAAAGTGTTTCTGTCACAGAAACCCAGGACCATCCTGCAACCGCTGCTGTGCCTCCTCTGGCCAAGAAGTCAACTGCAAGAAGAGGAGAGCCCTGGCCAGGATGCACAGGACTGGACACAGACACCCTAGCATCAAAGACTGGATGGCAGCCATGCTGGACTGGTTCAATTCAAAGACCAGTGGGAAGAATCCCAAACCCCACCGTACTATCTGAGACCTAATAACTTGGCCTGTCTGTTTCCCCTTGCTGGTCTCCACGTTAAAGGACACTGGTGGATTTGCTGAAGTCACTTATTCCTTCTGTTTCTGCTGGACAGCTATTCAGCTACTGCAAGATGCAGGGATGAAAGTCCAGCCAGAATGAACAGATTTGTTTTCCTGGCTCAACTTCCACATGAGAGATGAACACAGATGTTCTGTAGAGGTTATCTCACTGGAGGCAAACACAACTGGGCTGACTCTCCTGCTTTAAGGTGTGATGAAAGTGGACACAGAAGTCCCACCCTCGAGGACTGATTGCTCATGTTCAGTTAGACCACAGGTTCCTTAAGCTCATGTCTCCAGCACATCTCTAGGGGCAATAGAAGAACATGTCAAACTTCTATCAGTGCTTCTCTTTTGCACCACCGGCTTCCACCAGGCTGCAGCTCTGGACTACCCAAACTAGAGGTGCTTCAGCTGCATCCAGCAGTTCCTACAGGCACCTTCTTTCATTAATTGCCTTCTGAACCAAAATAAATGTTTCAAAACCGACAGGCCACTAGAGGACACCAATTTGTCTTTTTAGTCCATAGACCAAGCTGGTTTGCAGTGATCTGCACTGCTGAAGAGACAACACAAACCGCTGCTGTCAGCGTCTTCTCTTGAAGGCCACATTTCTGTACTTACACAGAGGTCTCCCTGGAGTTAAAGGTTGCTCCTGTTCAGTGAGTAAAGAAATTTAGACATACTCAGTCCTTTCTCCTTCCCCTTCTGATTATCACATAGACACTTGCTTCCTCCTCTGAGAGAGAACACGAGAGCCTTTACACTGAGACTCCACCAAATCGTTCTACTACTTATGGTGGTAGAAGATGCAGCACAAGCCAACGGGTCCTTTCAAAGATAGATGCTTGGTAAATACATGAAGCTTCAAATAGAAACATAAAGTTGGAACCTCCTCCATCAGTGCACTGCGTCGGGACACTCACAACCCTCGGATGGGATCCTTCCTTCCAAAAGTAGTTTGGTCCCACCTGGGTCATGCTCAGAGGGAATGAAAGCACAGGGCACAGAGCAAACGGGGCCATTCTGTGAATACCAGCATCAAACCAGAGTGTGAATGATGTAACGCTGCCAAAGCAGCACGAAGTCCTGGGTGCACTCAGGTGGCAATAGACACCCACTCTGTTTCCCACCCTGCAGTGCTCCCCGCCAGCCCCGTGCTTGCAGGGCAGCCAAGCCATGGCTTAGGAACCATCCCCCGGGGCAATGCCACCAGAGAGAGACCGCGAAGGAGCATCAGTGGCGGCTGTCTCGTGACTTCAAGCCATGCTGCACATCTCATCAGGAAGCGAATTCCTCTTGGCTGAAACCAACTCCAGGCTGACTTACTGACACAGCCTTCCAGTGGCATGCTATAGGGAGGGAGGACAGAAATACAACCACTCTTGTGTTTTGTCCTGGCTAGTGTGCGTGACCTCAGAAGCCAGCTTTGTCTTCTTACCCATCCGGAGAGAACCACAGCGGCCTAACGTGGGCTGCAGACTGTTCAGAGCACAGAGGATCAGCACATGGAAACCCACCGATGCCACAAAAGGTTAGTTTTGGAAAGCATTTAAAGGAGAACAGCTCTCACCGTTCTCGGATCAAACAGCACAACAAACATATGGTGCAATCAGATGAATGGTAACAGGACAGTTTATTAGTATTTCATGTCTGGCCATTAAAGGAAGTTCTGACTGCACATAGGAACACACTCAGAGGTGACACGAGTCCCTTCCCAGGCACATCTTTAGTATCCCACTCCTGGGTGACAATCCCAGAGGACATTAACACAAAGCATAAATCCCAGAATGGGCAGAGTGAATAGATTATTTCCTACCTTCATTTCCTCTTCCATTTCCGAGAGTTTCCTCTCCAGGGCTCGCTTCTCCTGTTTACAAGATTCATAACAAAGATGGTCACAAGGATGTAGAAGAAAAACTCACAGCGTGTTTTCTTCTAAAGAAGAGTCTTGTATTTCTGCAGGAGTCTTCACTGAAAAGCATCTCAAAGCAATGCACAGGTTACAACAAGGAGCTGGGCCCATTTCGGCAGATCCTGAGCTCTCTTCATACCCCTTCAGTGATTCCTGACCCCCTCCCAGCGATCCCAGTTTTCAGGACCTTCTGATGTAACCTGATTTTGAGCTCTGTGGGTGAAGCCATGGATTTAACTGCACCCACTACAGGAGGCAATGAGGAAACTCACCCAGCCCATCAAGTAAGAAACAGGGAATGGTGCTTGGAAATCCTCCTCCCTGATTAATTTAGGGCTTCAAAGCTGACTGCTCTCAGTGTATTTTGGAAATGGACAATTACACAGGTTAGCTCTGCCATGTTAGTAGTGGTGGTACCCTCAATGAGAGCCAGAGCCCTTGTGAGAGGGAGAGCTGGACTCTATCAAGGACATTCTCAATGTGAGAGGGCTCAAACCACCCCAGGGAGTGCAGTGAGCAGGAGGAAATGGCAAACCTCCAAGTGATATCCCCCAGCAGTGATGTTCAGCTGACAGTGGGGCTACATGTTTGATAACCCTCCTTTAGTCTCCCCGACGCACACGCAGGAATCAGGCCAACATGGATCATTGCTCTGAGTATCTCAGGGTTCAGAGTGGTGTGGAGGTGCTCAGCTGAGGTTACACAGCAGGGCCAGGGCCTGAGCATCAGCTCAGCTTCAGCAGTCAAAGCCTGGCACCTGCATCACACACTTGTACCAAGGGCTGGTGTGTGCTGCCTGCCCCTGTTCAAAATGGGGATCCTGAACACCACCTCCTCCAGACTGTATCTGGTAAATCCCAGGAAGTGTTTGCACATAAATGATTAAAGGGCTTTAATCATCCAGCAAAGCTTCTAAAGCTTCAGGAGATGAAACATTTCAAGAGGAAGCTCCACTTCAGGCAACTCTCCAGCATGAAAGTGGATGTTACCGAGAAACTGGAGCCAGGCTCCAGCTTTAATTAACCACGTGGTGGGAGAATGAGCATTAATGGCCATCAGCTGAAGCACAGGATAAGACATGAAGAGAAAACAAATCACTGTGAGGATAGTTAAGAACTGGAAGAAGGGCTGCAGCTGCAGAAACTCAACACTTCATGAAATGATGGGACAAAGCCCTGACTAACCTGCCTGACTCTGCTGGGATCTCCTCAGGTCCCTTCCAATCTGACTGGAGCTCAAGGCAGAGATTTAGCCAGGCTCTACCCATTCAGCTTAGCTCACTGCAACGAATCTGACTGTTCAGTGGAGAGGAAGGAGCATTCAGTGATCCAGATTTCAAGTGTAATCACAAGACAGACACCCAGCTCGTGTTTTGCCTTCTTCCCCTCACCATCCCAAAACAGACTTCATTTATAAGGACCAAGAATAATGTAAAGCATGCTGGACCAACAGTCTCTTAGCATGATACAACACAATTCGTTGGTCTGCAGCTTCCTGTAACAGAACAAAGAAATCAGAACTAAGCTGATTTCCAAAGAAAACAGAGAAGTCTCAGACCCTGAGAAGGTCAGAACACAGTTATGACTGTGCACTGCTCCACGAGGCAAAACTACAACTTCTCTTTTAATTAACACTTTCCTGCAAGAAATTACAATGCTCTGCAGAGCAACACGAGGCAAAGGCTGTGACCCAGAAGAAAGCAGAGGCACGTACCCTTTTCTCCATCTCCAGCATGCTGGACCGGTCCGAAGTTTTCTCCTGTTTCTGCTATGGAAATTAAAAATAGGAAGCTTTTAAAGCACCACAGGACGCTGCACAAAGACCCAGGCAGAAGCCTGGGGAAGAAGCAGTCTTCAGAGAATCCCTCACACTTATTTCTGTGAAAAATAAGTCTCCTCTGTAGCACCTTCCCTCCCAAGAGCTAAATCCTGTTTCATGCTGGAGCAAGTGTTGGCTTGTCATGGGCTGGGGCTCAGTTCCACCAGCCCAGAAGCCTGTTTTGGCCTTACCTGGGTTGCTTTCTCCAACTTGGATTTGATGTCGGCCAACTCAAGCTGGGCTTCTTGCAGTTTTGACTTCAGCTTTTGATTTTCGGACAGGGCGCTTTCATATAACTGAGATATGAGAGATGAAAGAAGAGATTTCAGTTAGCACAGAGCCAGCCCTGCGGCAGCTCCACGCAGAGCCAGCAGCAGGGTTTGCTTTGCTCCCCATGCCAGGGGATTCGAAGGACAAACAGAACTGCTCTGGATTCTTCCTTCTGTTTTCACAATCCATACGAACTAAGAAAACAGCTGTTTCATTTTGCAGGGTGATTAAACGCAGCCAAGAGGCAAAGAAAAGGGATGGTTTTCATTTAGGGAAACCAGCAAGCATAATAAAGCCCAAAGTTGTCTACGCGGGATGTATGTGAACCACTGGTTCTGCTGTGCTTCCCAACACAACACAGCCTCGCTGCCCTTGTTTGCTTTTTGCTGGAAGAGGAGAAAGGAGCAGAGTTTTAGGCCACTCCAAAATGGATTTTTTCCCCTTCAATTCCTTCAAACCAGCAGAATTTCCATCCCTCTGAGAAGACAAACAAGGCAACCTGCCTACCTCTTCTGACCAGACACGATCATGCAGAGGAGGGGGTGTTGCCTATGGAGGAGGCTTTTCAGCATCAGTCATTTCAGAATTCAGGTCAGAGTGACACAGAATGAATCACAGAATCCCAGATTGGTTTGGGTTGGAAGAGATCATAAAGCTCATCCAGTCCTAACCCCGTGCCATGGGCAGGGACACCTTCCACTAGAGCAGGTTGCTCCAAGCCCCTGTGCCTTGAACACTGCCAGGGATGGGGCAGTCACAGCTCCTCTGGGCAGCCTGGTCATCTTAGTCCGTTTACTTCCGACGTGGTCCCTGCACTGAGGCTGTGGGTGGCAGTGCACATCCCTGTCAAGGGTTGTGTTGAAAGGTTCAGAGATTATAGAAAACACAATTCTGGGATGTTACAGCAGCAAAGTAACCGTGGGGATGTGCACGTGTAAACCACGCTGCTGTGCTCACCAGTATCTTTTCTTGCTCCTTTCAAACCCCTCCCAGCATTTCCCCAGTCTGACTCCTCAATCCCCCTCTCCTCAGACGTCTCACTTCCATGGTGGCCTCTCATCCTGTGTCCTTTTTCAACCCCCTGACGGGCAGATGCATTTGAAGGCGGCCAGTGTGACTTCCAAAAGCAACGGTAACAGACAGTGAAAATAAACTTTCTCTTTCCAAAGCCTCCCAGTGCACGTTTCTGCAGCAACAGGCAGCAGGGACAATAACACAGGTAAAAAATCCTACTTTTTTGTAGTCCCTGTTACTCTCCTCTTCCGCTCTGCTGCTGAGGGCAGCCAACCGGTTCTCCCTCCGGCTATAGGCACTGGAGCGGCTGGAGGCACGGTCGCTGTAGGACTCACTGCTGGTGGGGTTCGTAGCTGCTTCCAACCTGAAACATGAAGATGTAGCACCGTGGAGCTGCTTTCCTGTGGGACAGCCACTGTGAGCCCCACTGCTTGGGACTTGAGGCTGTGGCAGACCCAGTGGAGCACCCTCCACCCTGCAGCACAGCCACCACTGCTGCAGGAACTGGGGGAAATCCAGGGGGTATCAGCCCAAAGCCCCAGTGGGCAGTAATTTCATAGAGTCATGGGATGGTTTGGGTTGGAAGGGACCTTAAAGCTCATCCAGCTCCAACCCCCTGCCCCGGGCAGGGACACCTTCCACTAGAGCAGGTTGCTCCAAGCCCCTGTGTCCAACCTGGCCTTGGACACTGCCAGGGATGGGGCAGCCACAGCTTCTCTGGGTACATCCACAATTTCCCATGGATCTCTCATCTTCATGGTTGGACTGGGCTCCATTTCTGATAGGGCACACAGGGTTTCTTCTCTACAGAGTAGCTGTTAAATAATTTGGGGAGCAAAGGACAGAAGCAACCTGGCCCAACAGTTGAGCCAAGGTAAAAAACACTTGGCCAGTACCAGCTTCAGACTGTGCTGCTGATTTGAAGCACAGGGAATCCCCAAAACCATCCCCAAATATGCTGTTCATAAATATTAAATACAAAATACTAACAAATAAATAAATAAATTCTTACCTGGAAAGTCTTTCATGCTGAAGGAGAAAAAAAAAGAAAAAGGGAATTAATGAGGAGAACAAAAGGTTCAATTCAACAACACAGCAGCAATTTCCTACCTCTGATACCAGCACCTCCCTCACCACAAGCTCACAGTATTAATTCCCATGCCCAAGCTGGGAATTACGGATCCTGCCTGAATCCTTTCAACTGCTTCACTGAAGCATTTCAAGATTTCTTTTCTTCTGCAACCCTAAAAACTATGGATCATTGTTCCCCAAATTCTAGCATTCAGAACCAAACCCCATCCCTTTGAACCAAACCCAACCTATTGTTTCCCTCTTTAAATCAAATTATTCCTCCTGGCTTTGATCACTGCCCTGTGCACGATGTGGGTGAGAGGGGTTAATGGACCACGACGCGTTGACCTTGCTGCCTATCTGTGTGGAACATCAGGAAGTGACAAACAACACTTTTTCTCCACGTGCAAGTCCCCCCCCCAGGAGGACAAGCCTCACTGGGGCAAGGAGACACAGAGCAGAGGCTGCACAAGGAAGGAGGAGACCACCAGCCAAAAGGGTGGACATTCTTCATTAAACATCATAAAAACATAGAAAAAAATGACAGAACGGTTTGTGTTGGAAAGAACCTTAAAGCTCCT